CGTTCAGGCGATCTCGGACCAACTGTTTTGGTGCGGATCTGAGCGTGATTGCCGTGTTCACATATGCCCAAATGAACCGAGCTAAGGGGGGAAACGCGCCAGGTTCCGAAACAACAGGCCAGGTGTGAAAGCACCCTTAAAGTACCGGTGGTACAGAGTACCCGGTCAACCCGCCTCTTGATGCGCTATCCAAAACGTGCGCAGATGCGCTCTCTTCATAAAAGCACAAGAGACGTGGCGACATCAAAAGGAGGAAACACACCAAACTAACAAAACACTTTAAAGACACCCAGATCGAATAAAAGAGCTCAAGCAGGTAAATTTCATTTGAATTTTTAATATGTGTTTCCCATAGATTGATTTATTTGTGGCGGCCCGCCACAATATAAAAACTGACCGCCACAAATAGATTTTCCAAAAGGCTTTGACTTCATTGAATAAACATGAGCACTGCACGTGTCAAAGTCGAAACCCGGTGTGGGTGTTTGTATATCACTGTATTTTCTGAAGGAAACCGATTGTCTTCAGAAAATTATGGATGTCATTTTCATTTCATCTTGCCTGTAATGCCTGAGCAGCGTTTATGAGTGGAGCGCTGTGTTGTGTATAGCCGTTACTGGGGAAACCTCTCTCTCTCCCGCTTTACAAGTGCCTCCTGCTGGCAGAGAATTAATTTGCATTTATATATATGCCGCAAAAAGAGTGAAAGTCTGTGGGAAACACTGCTTCTGTTGTGAATATTATTCAATATTTTAATTTGAATGTCGGATTGAAATGAACGCTGTTATTAGAGTAGTTAATCGTTAACATAAACGCTGCTAACGCTAATATAATGAGTATTAGAAAGAAGTTTCTTTATTAACTATTTAATGCTCCTATAACTTTTATTAGGGTAAAAAAAACAGAAGGACATAATGATATTTACAATTTTTACACACCAGAGGCTTTTAAATGAATTGTGAATCTAAAATATGCGTGTTAGAGAATGTACAAGTGGTTAACATTGTTTGTGTCATATCAGTCAGAAAAGCAGTTCTGGGCTTTTTTTTTAAGCTAACTTAGTTGTTATTCTTGGCTGAATAACTCTGAATAAATACTGTTTTCAAAAGCCGTGAGTTTAAAATATTCTAGCTGAGCCCCCAGCGTGAGTTTTTTTTAGGCGACCGTTATTTTAAAATGTATCGCCTTATTATTATCTGATATTCCGATTCTGAAATATGTGCAATTAAATCTGTTTGGTAGTTTAAACACTTTTATATTGACCGTGTTAGTTGATCTATACCGGGTGATGGGCGCCGCCATGTTAGTTCGCGCTGAATCCGAGCTGTGGGATTTACAACAGGCAAATTCATCCTCTCCTCCCGAAACACGTTAAAGTAGCTCTTCGGTAAACTGGGAGAAGAGCAGAGTAAACTTTATAGTTACCTACACAATCTGTATATGATATCAAATATATAAAACATATAAAACATAAAAAAAAGATATAAAACATGTCGTCAGATTATATTTGTAAGGATCATTATTGCCGTTTCCATAAACATCAGCGTGCATTTTACAAACTGTAAATGTATGGTTTTGTTAGTACTTATGTGTATTTAAATGTCTGAAACCTAAATTAAGTATTATATGGTTGAAAACAATGAATATTTGTGATAATATGACAAGCGCTCAGCACGTCTGATCTGGCTCTGCGCCAGGCAAAGCGCGAAAGCGGATTTAAATTCAGCAGTTGATGACGTGACGCACTGAAAGTTCTAAACACACCGGTGTGATCGTACGCTTCAGGGACCAGCCAAGACTGATCACACTGGTGTGATCGCACACGTCAGAGGGTTAAAATTAAATATGTACACAGTTTGGATTAAATGAAAGCATAGTCAAATTTTTTAATTAGCATGTTTTTGTGTTTTGCTTTGGTACCGAAATTGGTACAGAGAACTGTGGATTTTCACTGGTATTGGTACCGAATACTGGAATTTTGGTACCGTGACAACACTAGTATGACTAATTTTCTTCTACGTAAAGCAGCAAAAAAAAAATTGGGTCTATACAAACAAGTTATATACGAAGTCTATACAAAGTAAGTCATACAGATTTGTAACAACATGAGGTTGAGTAAACTTTTGGGTGAACTACCCCTTTAAGACTGATAGAGTGTTGGATTAGGTAGAGAGAACATTGAAGAGCAATATGTGAAACTAATGAGAAGTAATTTGGTAATATAATTACGGAACCATTAAGGTCCATTAAGGTTTCCAGCACAAGCCTTCATCTTCCTTCAAATTGCCAGCACTCATATAGCAGGCAGTTCCCTCCATCTTCAATGACCTTAAACGGTTTTGCAGTCACATGACTGCAATACAACACCTATAGCCAGACCTTTATGTTTTGAGATCACATCCATGCTTCATAGCAAACCCTGGAATTAATAAACATATACAGACTAAACATAAACCAATGCTCATAAACTTGTTTTGGTTTCACAATGTCTTGGATTCAGAAATGCGGGTGCTAAGGCCAGGTGATTCTGCCAGGAATGTCAGGAAAGTCACTCGGGCAGAAGTGAAAGGGTGGTCTGAGTTGGCGTCAGCTCTTTAGGGTTGTCTACCGCAATAAGGATGAAATGGTCTACTCTATATCGACCTGAAAACCGAATCCTCAAGCCTCCAGGCTGCAGAAGTGTCATAGGAAGACACTCCATTGTGTCGACACCTTCAAAAAGAGCCATGAAAGAGAATGGGAGAAGGAAGAAAATAGCTGAGAACTCAATGGCCAACTAAAAGGAATTATTTTCTTGCAATAGAAGCGTCCATTGGGACAACCAAATGAAAACCAGATACGTCAGAACAGACAAAGCTTAACAGAAAATTCAGGAAAACACTAACAAATGAGTGTCCTCCCGATACGGTAGCTTTGGAAAAAGCACTTTGGAAAGTTTTAAAATTAACATTAGCAGTTGGCAACCACTGCTGAATATACAGTACACAGCAAAATCCCCAGAGTTAAATCAACTCTGCTCAGAGTACATATTGTCCCAATCTACAGAGTGTTAAAGTAACACTGAAGCATAGTTACCACTGTTGAGGATTATGTGATATGTTTTCATGTATAAAAGCATGAGCTGTAGTTGTTCATCTTCAACATTGTTAACAGCGGGTTTTCTTTACTAATGCTCACTCATCAATTAATTAATTGCTTAATTATCCCATTAACTTTAACTTGGCTTCAGTGTTACTTTAACACTCTGTAGATTGGGACAATATGTACTCTGAGCAGAGTTGATTTAACTCTGGGGATTTTGCTGTATACCGCCGACTACTGTAAACCAATTATATCGTTAATCTTAACAAGATGTTTTCAGGTCATGCAGGGTGCTGGAAGAGTGCCAGGGATAGTGGATGAAAGGTGGGAGTCGTGGTCCCATGTAAGACGTCACTCTCTTGCTCCCAAAGGTGCATGATCGAACACTCATTATAAATGGAGTATCTGAGGTCACTCTCGGCCAAACTGAAGTGCTGTTGATGGAGTGGTGCAGTGATCCTTTCCTGTACCCATGCAGGGAAGCTGAGAAAGGTCTGGCTATTGATTCCTCGGGCAACAGATGGCCATAGCTAATCCCTGTTTGTGTCCATGCATTCTCCTCATGCTATCCATCGGTAAAAAAATGCATTTCTGCAATACTACCAGCAAATTAACAATGTATCCTTTGTCATTGTCTTCTGAGACTCCACTTCAAGAGAACAGATTTCATTACCAGCAGCCATTTCAAAAGCTTTTTCATGATCTCCAGCTGACTACTCAACCATTTTTTTCGGAGAATATAATCTTACAATAAATCAATGAACAAACAGGGTCTTGCATGGACTTGAGTGACTATTTTAGGAGTTTACAGAGGAGCAAACAGATTAGGAACTAGAGCATCCGATCTGAGTCTCGAGATAATGAAATACTTCCTTTCTGAGAGAAGCAAAAGACAAACTCTTTCAGAAAGAGGTCACACTTAGGGCAGGGGCTGTTTAGTCTTCAAATTATGCCATTTGGATCTTGTTCCCTGAGGTGTTCTCAACTCCTGACCTTGATTTGGTAAACTTGAAACACATCCGAACGTATTTCCTTTCCATTATCTGCGAATTATGCAAACTATGTACATAATCTGCCCCACTGTGCAGGATCTGGGAGCTCAAATATGCTCTGATTGTTTACCATCCCTAGGGAACCAGAGATGCACAGAGGAAACAACTCATACCGAGGAGTCCTCCCATGGAGCCAGACATACAAACATTCACAACCACCCATACCGGACTCACACAGTCGCCGATGAACAATGAAAAGGGGGAGGAGTCTTCTGATTTGCTCACTAGGGTCAATGGGGTCTTGCAAGAATTAGATAACTCAATCAACAGTCAGTGGAGGGCTAATTCAAACTCAGCTGCATCTACAAACTAACAAAACACTTTAAAGACACCCAGATCGAATAAAAGAGCTCAAGCAGGTAAATTTCATTTGAATTTTTAATATGTGTTTCCCATAGATTGATTTATTTGTGGCGGCCCGCCACAATATAAAAACTGACCGCCACAAATAGATTTTCCAAAAGGCTTTGACTTCATTGAATAAACATGAGCACTGCACGTGTCAAAGTCGAAACCCGGTGTGGGTGTTTGTATATCACTGTATTTTCTGAAGGAAACCGATTGTCTTCAGAAAATTATGGATGTCATTTTCATTTCATCTTGCCTGTAATGCCTGAGCAGCGTTTATGAGTGGAGCGCTGTGTTGTGTATAGCCGTTACTGGGGAAACCTCTCTCTCTCCCGCTTTACAAGTGCCTCCTGCTGGCAGAGAATTAATTTGCATTTATATATATGCCGCAAAAAGAGTGAAAGTCTGTGGGAAACACTGCTTCTGTTGTGAATATTATTCAATATTTTAATTTGAATGTCGGATTGAAATGAACGCTGTTATTAGAGTAGTTAATCGTTAACATAAACGCTGCTAACGCTAATATAATGAGTATTAGAAAGAAGTTTCTTTATTAACTATTTAATGCTCCTATAACTTTTATTAGGGTAAAAAAAACAGAAGGACATAATGATATTTACAATTTTTACACACCAGAGGCTTTTAAATGAATTGTGAATCTAAAATATGCGTGTTAGAGAATGTACAAGTGGTTAACATTGTTTGTGTCATATCAGTCAGAAAAGCAGTTCTGGGCTTTTTTTTTAAGCTAACTTAGTTGTTATTCTTGGCTGAATAACTCTGAATAAATACTGTTTTCAAAAGCCGTGAGTTTAAAATATTCTAGCTGAGCCCCCAGCGTGAGTTTTTTTTAGGCGACCGTTATTTTAAAACACTATATTATGAAATATCTGATATTCCATAATATATTCTGAAATATGTGCAATTAAATCTGTTTGGTAGTTTAAACACTTTTATATTGACCGTGTTAGTTGATCTATACCGGGTGATGGGCGCCGCCATGTTAGTTCGCGCTGAATCCGAGCTGTGGGATTTACAACAGGCAAATTCATCCTCTCCTCCCGAAACACGTTAAAGTAGCTCTTCGGTAAACTGGGAGAAGAGCAGAGTAAACTTTATAGTTACCTACACAATCTGTATATGATATCAAATATATAAAACATATAAAACATAAAAAAAAGATATAAAACATGTCGTCAGATTATATTTGTAAGGATCATTATTGCCGTTTCCATAAACATCAGCGTGCATTTTACAAACTGTAAATGTATGGTTTTGTTAGTACTTATGTGTATTTAAATGTCTGAAACCTAAATTAAGTATTATATGGTTGAAAACAATGAATATTTGTGATAATATGACAAGCGCTCAGCACGTCTGATCTGGCTCTGCGCCAGGCAAAGCGCGAAAGCGGATTTAAATTCAGCAGTTGATGACGTGACGCACTGAAAGTTCTAAACACACCGGTGTGATCGTACGCTTCAGGGACCAGCCAAGACTGATCACACTGGTGTGATCGCACACGTCAGAGGGTTAAAATTAAATATGTACACAGTTTGGATTAAATGAAAGCATAGTCAAATTTTTTAATTAGCATGTTTTTGTGTTTTGCTTTGGTACCGAAATTGGTACAGAGAACTGTGGATTTTCACTGGTATTGGTACCGAATACTGGAATTTTGGTACCGTGACAACACTAGTATGACTAATTTTCTTCTACGTAAAGCAGCAAAAAAAAAATTGGGTCTATACAAACAAGTTATATACGAAGTCTATACAAAGTAAGTCATACAGATTTGTAACAACATGAGGTTGAGTAAACTTTTGGGTGAACTACCCCTTTAAGACTGATAGAGTGTTGGATTAGGTAGAGAGAACATTGAAGAGCAATATGTGAAACTAATGAGAAGTAATTTGGTAATATAATTACGGAACCATTAAGGTCCATTAAGGTTTCCAGCACAAGCCTTCATCTTCCTTCAAATTGCCAGCACTCATATAGCAGGCAGTTCCCTCCATCTTCAATGACCTTAAACGGTTTTGCAGTCACATGACTGCAATACAACACCTATAGCCAGACCTTTATGTTTTGAGATCACATCCATGCTTCATAGCAAACCCTGGAATTAATAAACATATACAGACTAAACATAAACCAATGCTCATAAACTTGTTTTGGTTTCACAATGTCTTGGATTCAGAAATGCGGGTGCTAAGGCCAGGTGATTCTGCCAGGAATGTCAGGAAAGTCACTCGGGCAGAAGTGAAAGGGTGGTCTGAGTTGGCGTCAGCTCTTTAGGGTTGTCTACCGCAATAAGGATGAAATGGTCTACTCTATATCGACCTGAAAACCGAATCCTCAAGCCTCCAGGCTGCAGAAGTGTCATAGGAAGACACTCCATTGTGTCGACACCTTCAAAAAGAGCCATGAAAGAGAATGGGAGAAGGAAGAAAATAGCTGAGAACTCAATGGCCAACTAAAAGGAATTATTTTCTTGCAATAGAAGCGTCCATTGGGACAACCAAATGAAAACCAGATACGTCAGAACAGACAAAGCTTAACAGAAAATTCAGGAAAACACTAACAAATGAGTGTCCTCCCGATACGGTAGCTTTGGAAAAAGCACTTTGGAAAGTTTTAAAATTAACATTAGCAGTTGGCAACCACTGCTGAATATACAGTACACAGCAAAATCCCCAGAGTTAAATCAACTCTGCTCAGAGTACATATTGTCCCAATCTACAGAGTGTTAAAGTAACACTGAAGCATAGTTACCACTGTTGAGGATTATGTGATATGTTTTCATGTATAAAAGCATGAGCTGTAGTTGTTCATCTTCAACATTGTTAACAGCGGGTTTTCTTTACTAATGCTCACTCATCAATTAATTAATTGCTTAATTATCCCATTAACTTTAACTTGGCTTCAGTGTTACTTTAACACTCTGTAGATTGGGACAATATGTACTCTGAGCAGAGTTGATTTAACTCTGGGGATTTTGCTGTATACCGCCGACTACTGTAAACCAATTATATCGTTAATCTTAACAAGATGTTTTCAGGTCATGCAGGGTGCTGGAAGAGTGCCAGGGATAGTGGATGAAAGGTGGGAGTCGTGGTCCCATGTAAGACGTCACTCTCTTGCTCCCAAAGGTGCATGATCGAACACTCATTATAAATGGAGTATCTGAGGTCACTCTCGGCCAAACTGAAGTGCTGTTGATGGAGTGGTGCAGTGATCCTTTCCTGTACCCATGCAGGGAAGCTGAGAAAGGTCTGGCTATTGATTCCTCGGGCAACAGATGGCCATAGCTAATCCCTGTTTGTGTCCATGCATTCTCCTCATGCTATCCATCGGTAAAAAAATGCATTTCTGCAATACTACCAGCAAATTAACAATGTATCCTTTGTCATTGTCTTCTGAGACTCCACTTCAAGAGAACAGATTTCATTACCAGCAGCCATTTCAAAAGCTTTTTCATGATCTCCAGCTGACTACTCAACCATTTTTTTCGGAGAATATAATCTTACAATAAATCAATGAACAAACAGGGTCTTGCATGGACTTGAGTGACTATTTTAGGAGTTTACAGAGGAGCAAACAGATTAGGAACTAGAGCATCCGATCTGAGTCTCGAGATAATGAAATACTTCCTTTCTGAGAGAAGCAAAAGACAAACTCTTTCAGAAAGAGGTCACACTTAGGGCAGGGGCTGTTTAGTCTTCAAATTATGCCATTTGGATCTTGTTCCCTGAGGTGTTCTCAACTCCTGACCTTGATTTGGTAAACTTGAAACACATCCGAACGTATTTCCTTTCCATTATCTGCGAATTATGCAAACTATGTACATAATCTGCCCCACTGTGCAGGATCTGGGAGCTCAAATATGCTCTGATTGTTTACCATCCCTAGGGAACCAGAGATGCACAGAGGAAACAACTCATACCGAGGAGTCCTCCCATGGAGCCAGACATACAAACATTCACAACCACCCATACCGGACTCACACAGTCGCCGATGAACAATGAAAAGGGGGAGGAGTCTTCTGATTTGCTCACTAGGGTCAATGGGGTCTTGCAAGAATTAGATAACTCAATCAACAGTCAGTGGAGGGCTAATTCAAACTCAGCTGCATCTAATATAATTTCCCTAAATCGCATTGCACTAAACCACTTGAAAAACATCTGCTGATCTTTCACTATGATCTCAACATTGGTCTAAGGCCCAAGGGATGAGACCAGGGAGTCGCAAAGAAAAGAACGGAGACTTAATTAGCCTGACCGCACTATGTCGGGACAGCCGAAAAAGTCCCACAGGGTTCACGTGAAGAGTCCCTCAGTGCTGGCAGGTGCCCGCCATGACACAGAGAGAGGGGAAATGAATCCGCTAACACAAACAAATCACCCTCAGGCCTGTTTTCTGTCAGTGTTAGCGACACAAAGGCCATTGATTTGAACCCTCTGAGCGTGAGGAAAGTTTTTTGACGGGTTCCCTGCTGTCAGACATTTGGGGTGTTTGACTTCTAATCCACCCTGAGGGGGTTTCAAATGACCACACAAAGCAGCATGACTATTCATTCAAAGGTTTAAAGCAGTGTATCACCATTTAAGTGAGAATATGAACTTTTTTACAGAAAGAACACAACATTCTGCTAGCTCAAACCAACAGGACACAGATGTGTTTCTTGGTTGGCACAAAGCCCTGCTCTCAAGAGAAGTGTTTCTGACTAAATTTAGCAAGGCTGAACATAATTACATTGGAGTTTTGATAATTAAATTAACAATAAAATATACGACAACTCATTAGATGAGCATTCAGAGCCATCTGCACCTCATTTGACATGCAACAAGACATTTGGGCGGATATCTGTAGTCTCCATTGATGAAGACATTTCATTTACATGCCACTCAGTTTCTAACAGATGAGAACAAAGTATTTGCCTGAATTTGAATAATGGATGCGCCTAAAACAAAGAGAGCAGAGCTACAAAGGGTTTCAGCCTGCAAAGCACACAAACCCCTCCAATTTGGGCATCAAAAACTCCAAACCCAGAAGAGAGAATAAAACCGCAGATTTACTGGGTAGACTGCCAAGATGTTCGAAGCAACAGCTGGCTGCCAAGGTTACTGCTGAAGGAACAACAACAAAATAAACGATTTCTCTTTAAAGCGTTACAAATTAAGCGAGACTAATCCATTTCGGACCGTTGCAGGGTTTTCAACACCAGTGAGTAATGAGTACTTTCAGATGATCTCTCTTAGTTTGAAGACCAGTGACAGAATGAGCATTTCCGCTATTAGATTGAAAATAATAATTTGTACTAAAATGGTACAGACTCCTCACAAAACTCCCTTGTTTCAAATTGAAAATGTATAGGATCAGTTGTAGACTGAAGGGCTTTAAAGAAATAGTTCTCACAAAAAATGATCAACAATATCAACGCTCAACAACGCTCTTCTGTGGAGATAAATTCTGACACACAAAATTAGGGCTGCACGATAAATCGCATGTGACTGTCATGCGCATCTTGTCAGTAAAGCCGGTTCTCTGATTAGTTGTAAATTTCCATCACCTGCTTTCAGATGGAGCGGCATTTACTACACAGAGCCATAGTTCACTGACAAGCTACGCAATATCGCATTCATAATCGAATGCGATTCATCTGCGATTATGAACGCAATATTGCGTAGCTTGTCAGTGATCTATGGCTCGGTGCATTAAATGCCGCTCCATCTGAAAGCACGTGATGGCGATTTACTACTAATCACAGAACCGGTTATCTGACAAGATGCACATGACAATCACATGCGATTTATCGTGCAGCCCTACACAAAATCACCACAAAATTAACATAAAAACAGTCCACATGATGTGCACACTATTTTCCAAGTTGCCTGAAGCCATACAATACCTTTGTGTGGAAAAAAAATGTAAGTCATTATTCACTGAAGATTGTGATATCTGCCCTAGCAAGTTCTTGGCAAGTTCATGGGAGAAGCAGCCATTTCAAATCCGTGAACAATTGACTCTCTCTCTCATTTTTTTCTTTTTTTTTAAAATTAATTTGCAGATATCTGAAATTGCAATTCTAACTCGCTTTTTCCCAAACTGATTAAAGTCCATTCTTTGGATTAGCGAGTGTGCAGTATAATTACATTTTAATATTATTATTAAATTTGTTCAACTTTTTGAATCTAATAGTTCCTCTGCATTATGGGATAGCAAAATTATCATTTTGAACTAAAGGCTGCTTCGAAAATAACACTCTTTGAGAAGTTAGCCTACTTAATTTTAAAACTTGCTTTGCGACCATTGAAAAAGTAAGTAGGCCTATGTTCCATATAGTATGAATATAATCCAAACCACACTTGTCATGTTGTTATTGTCCTGACGCAATTTACGCTGTTAATTCACATGGTATGTAGTAGGTCATTCAGGTATTGTTGACATACTGTTTCATGAACTTGTCATACTAGTGATTTCTGCTGACTATAGATTAGGGAAGTACGCAAATTCGGACACGGTGAATGATTTGTTCACGAATCAGACTGATCCGATTCCGGAGTTCAATTCACTGACTGAACAATTGAGTAGCAGCCTTTAACTGAAGCGAATCAGACCAGTGGATAACGATTTACATTTTCGGCCCGTTTCTCACAAAAAGCTATCGCATGGCATCAGAAGACTTTGAAAATATATAACGACTCGTGTCGATTACTTTTGTGTTTCACGGAAGAAATGACCTAAGTCAAAAGGGTTTGAAATGGGGGTTAGTAAATTAAGACTATTTTTATTTTGGGTGAACTAAGTTATCGATCTATCAAGTTTTAAAGTGAAAAGAAAACGACAAAGCGAATAAATATTCAACATTTTCACACAAATCACAAATTGTACAAAACCTAGAGTGAAAACAAATGTATAGTCAAGGTATTGTAGAATGTGTTGTTGTTAATTCCCCCAATTCCCAAACACTGGACTGAATAACGCTACTAAACTGCCCACTGTTTTGTGCATCAGCGACTGCACATTTATTTAAACCAAATAAAATATCTTTATCTAAAACAAAGCAATTTAATATGTTCCCCTGCTTTTCTGATAGAACCTATTGTTAAACCCAAAAAACACGCGCGCTGTGGAGCCGGATGGATCTGTATGGACAAAACCCACTACGCTCCGTGGAGTTCACCTTTAAGAAAAAGTTTCTTTCGGAACAAGTTCAAATACAAGAAACAGATTCAATTGTTTGTCATCTTACCTCGCCAAGCACGAGACGACAATCCCATTGTATGTAGTAAAAAAATGATACAACGATTCCTTGTGTCAACACACGCGTTATTTCCCAAAGAGGCGCGCCTTCCACAATAGAAGCTCAACAGATCTCAGGACACAGCGAGCGGCTGACTGACAGCCCCACCGGCACAAACCCCGCCTCTTCTGTGCGCTGATTCGCCGTGGCGTAGACAGAGCCCCGCCTCCTGTGATAGAGGCATGTCATTTGCTGTCTGGCCTGTCAATCTCGCCCTTTGACTTTAAAGGGGCTGTTTGGGACAATGTTGTGAGACATTTATGCCTGACGACGAGTGAGTTGCATTTACTGTGTGAGAGGCAATTAAATAATACAGATTTTATGCATGAATAAGGTCAAAAAATGTCCACTTCTTAAATTACATTTTAAATGTATGCATTTGTAAGTTGTAAACACTCATTTAATCTACGAAATTGCTTCAGGGCAACAAATCCATTTTTTTTATTTATATGCACATTAATAATGAAGACTTTGAATAAACAAGTAAAATGCTTTGACTTGGTCACACTATATCCTGATGGTCAATTTAAAAACGTTTTCTTATGTGGAGACATTTTTCCCCCAGGGCTATTTTTTTATGCAATGGTGGAATGGATGTGAATACAGTGGATAATGGATGGAATGCATTTTGTGTTATTCATTATTGAGTATTTATTAAATGCTGCATTTGAGTATTTACTTAACATTTAAGTCAAAGTAAAAAAGTAGTAAAATAAAGAAAAGTCATGTACTGTCATGTAAAGTCATTTTACTATTATTCCATGAACAGATTGTATAATCACTCAATTTCCCAACATATATTTATTTACTCAAAATATTTATCTTTGGTGGAGTATTTTTTTCGATTGTCACATAAAATATCAACTCCCAAACATAACTTTTCAAAATGTGATTTTAGCATTTCTAAAACATTTCTAATAACATTGCTTTCGTAATGCGTGCAAGAGAAAGCTAATTTGTCAGAAGTTGACTTATGATCAAATTTATGCCTCATATTATAGGCATGAACAATCTTACATGCTCTAGTAAAATGTCAAGTTATTTTTAGCTCTGATGAGAGCTACCCTGTGACATGTGTGTCATCTTATAGCCTATCAAGAGTCGTGTTTCCAACACTGTAAAGTGCCTTTACATTGACCTAAATTTATTACGATGTATGTTATCTTTACCTTGAAGCAATCCGCATGTAAATCACACTAGCACTGATGTGGTTTCAGTTTTATTTTGTGCAAAAAAGTGTGACATAAGTGAGAATGACAAAACAGCATGACGACACAAACACAGTAACAATCCCTTCAACTGCATATATGCTCCACAATAGTGATTTACAAACTGTTTTCTAAGATGTACAGCTTACGGCATTAGAATTTGGTTATAAAGGAGAGTGTAATTCATACGCAAGGCCTTTCTCATAGCAGTGTTGTTATTATTTCCTCAGTGAATCAGCAGGATGAGGTCTCTGGGCATGCTGATTCTGTTGTTAGCTCTAAATGGGTGTGCACAGAGGTGCCTTTTTTATTGTACTTGGGTTGACCATTCCTCTGTGCTTACCTAATGCTGCACAGTATGCATAAGCGTGACAAGGGCGCCATCTGGAGTTTGGCAATGAAATTTCAAACCTCTATTGTGTATCTGCATTGTATATGACATGATCTTAGATCAACCTTTAGAGTTAAATGTTGATATAGAGAAGAATACAACTGAAATACAATAATACACATACAGCATACTAAATGTACAGCAGATAAATGGATACATGAAATAATCCATCTTGTCAATGATGTCCAAAACAGCCATCTCATCCATGGAGTGGGTGGGCTACCTGTCCCCTGTTGGTTTTGATTGAAAGCCCTGCAATTAAAAAAAAAGCAATTAACCTGCCATTAAAAAGGAGACGTAATTGTTCATTTGTTTTTCATTATAAATCTGCATGTGTCATATCATATACTCATTCACATACTCAATTTTAAGCACATTTTAAGTCTAAAGGGAAATACTGGCCTAATTTTGAAAGCTGTGTTTTGGGCCCAACACAGCTGTCAAACATGGCAATCAATTTCAATGTTATCCCCATGAGATATTGTCATTATTACAGCCTGGAGTATTTGTCGGTGTAATAAAGGCCATATCATTTCATGATTAATAACTGGAGCATAAAAAATATCTAATGCAATTACAGAC